TACATTTGGGAAGGAAGCTGTAGAATTGTCCTTGCTAAGCCATAAAAATATTGATCTTATCCATTCTAATAATAAGATATTGTTCCCTCCATACTGCTGTTGACAACAGAGGGGTACTACATCAGATGCGGTAGAGTTGTTGATAGACTTCCACAAAAGTGTGGGTGTAACAAATATATAGCTGTTATTTGTTTTCTCTAAGTACTCATTTAGCCACTAGAATATTATATTTTGCAAAGGTCAAGCTGCAATTTCTTCTTGCTGGGAAAATGACTGTTTGTTCACCCCACTGGTTCATCCTTTGTAGTTCGCTGAAAGTAGTCTGTGAAACATGGCTGCACAGTTTCTCAGTTCCTGGATAAACAGTTGTGAATTATAGGGCTTCCAATCTACTCTTGTTCCCACTCTTTTGCAGAAGCAGAAGTTGAAAGCTTTTCCCACTATGTCATTTAAACACAGCTCCAGCCGCATTTAATTTTTTTAAAAATAGTAAACATCAGCAAAGATGCCATCCTTTTCTGTAGGATTTCCCATCATTGGTGACTTTGGGGGACTTTTCATTATTTTATTTTTTCCCTGTGTACTCTGGTTAACTCCTTCTTTGGAATTCATAGTATTTCTAAGTGTACATCTTTGGCTGGATCAAGCCCCAGTGTTCTGTTAGATTTAGTTTTGGTACTAAATATACATGTCCCCAGCACCACACATTTTAAAGAAGTGAACAAGACTATATCCCACTGCAGAACATCAGTGCTGTCAAAGAGGGAAACCTTTTGTTACCATGTGCAAATAAACAGAAGATCAGAGCAAGAAAGGATGGTTAACTATATATGAAATTAGGAATTAGGAATATTACTTACTCTTCAATACCAATTTGCCAGTAAACCTCACGAGTGACAGGGGTCCAGGAAATTTCCCCAGAGTACAACTGATTATCAACTCCTCCCAAGATCAGTTCCCCTCCATACTGAACAGTTGGTTGTCTGGGGAGGGGGAAAAGCCAATGTTAGATGCAGCTGGTGGAGGCATTAAATGATGAGATCAATGAGAGCAAAAAAAGAGCAAAATATGTAAGAACACTGGTAAATTAAGTACAGATTACTGCTAACTGAGTAATCCAAATAGGCACAAAGATGTTTTCCACAGGAATCAAGGTTTCTATGCCATTGAGTGTCAAACTGCTGTTCAGACAATTTACAATTATCATTATCCCAATAGGCATGTAAATCTTTCAGTGTTAGGTGCTCGAGGCATCAGATGTACAAACAAAACTGATATCTCTCAGAAAATACAAACCAAGCTATTTTTCCAAAAGTAAATAGAAGCAGACTGATGTTAGAATTAACAGCCTTATTCAGGTATTGAAATAACTGATTTCCTCAACATGCTTTGAGGGGAATGCTTAGCTCTACAAACTTCTGTTGTTTTTGTTTTTTTCATGCAAAGACCAAGGACTCTAAAGAGGAGAGGGTTCTGATTGCATGAAGTCTTTCCTCATGTGGAAAATTTGGGCTCTTGCTCACATGTAGAGCCTGCAATTGATCAGGAACCTCTCCCCTTCAGACTGGTTAGTGATTGCACAAAGAAAGTGGTGACAGAGTGAGTGGGGTGGGTGCTCCCCTCCAAGCATGCTGAGGAAGCCAGGTATTCTAACACCTGAATAGGGCTTGTCTAGCAAGGCCCTTAGCATGATTTAAAAAAAAAAAAGTATGAAAGCTAAGGAAAAGCTACATTTTCGTCACTCTGGTTCCCAAGTCAAAAGAGTGCATGAAGCATAACTACAGACAAAAGGCAACTAAATGTTGTGAGCTTGAACATTTGTTCATAGAGCGTTATTTACCCTTCAAATTGTGTTTTTTCATCCCTCAAAATCAAGATGATTGAAAATTAAGAAACAAATAATTCCACTACTAGCTCCCTCTGTACATATTGTGACTAGAATGTTAATCTTGATTATATTCTGGATTGTAAACAATTGTGAGGGTACTGTTACAGTAAGGTAAAGGTAAAGGTTCCCCTTGACATTTTTTTTAGTCCAGTCGTGTTCGATTCTAGGGGGCGGTGCTCATCCCTTTTTCACCATAGAGCCAGCGCTTGTCCGAAGACAGTTTCTGTTGTCATGTGGCCAGCGTGAGTAGGGAGCACCGTTTTTCTTTCCCAACGAGGTGGTCCCTAATAATTTACTCGTATTTGCATGCTTTCAGACTGTTAGGTTGGCGAGGAGCTGGGACAAAGCAATGGGAGCTCACTCCGTTGCGTGGATTCAATCTTACGAATGCTGGTCTTCTGACCCTGCAGCACAGAGGCGTCTGCGGTTTAGTCTGCAGCGCCACCATGTCCCAGTAGAAGTGGCCAAAATGAAAACCACATTCAAACCCCCAGAACTTTTGAGCCTGTCACACACCCTGAAGAAGAGTTTAAACTAATACAAGATTAGGTTCATAAGTGGCCAAAATGAAAACTACATTCAAACCCCAAGAACTTTTGAGCCTGTCGCACACCCTGAAGAGGAGTTTAAACTAATACAAGATTAGGTTCATTAGAGTGAATCTAGAATAACTATATTATAATATAACTGAATTAGATTTACCGTGAAAAATAGAAGCTGAAGACAGGTTCAGAAAGCTGTCCTTGTTCTAGCATTTGCTGCATGAGTGTGGCTCCACCCCCTACAGCTAGAGGCGGATAAGCCATCCCCATAATCCCATCAAAATCGGCATAATAGAAGGGAGTGGTTGGTTCGTTCTCACTCAGGCCAAATTCCTGGTTGGTAACAACTATATTCTGGACCTAGGAGGACAGGGAACAAAATGAATTTCACACAGAACTGAAGCCACAACCATAACACATATTGCTCAAGTTCCAGCAGGAAAGAGAGGAAACGACACAATATTTTAGGACTAATGCAAAAGGAGGGCAATGTGACATGGCTCCAAAGACTGAAACCTGGAAAGGTAATTTTCCCAGGGCCTGGAATGGATTGACTGCAAGCTAAATCCAAAAAACACGTAGCCCTGATCACGCGAGGTAAATGTTTTCTAGTTCTTCTGATGCTTTCCATACCTCTGTTGCACTGAATTGTGGTCATGTGGTTTATATTCCAGGACAAATGTCCCAATAACCTCACATGCTGCTTTTAGTAGGTTTGGCTGGGAGGGATCTTTTCTGAGGTGTCTGTCAATCTATCCAGTGGTAACCAATTGTTTCTTCTCTGCCTCTTAATTCAAAAAGAACCCCGCCTCTCTGTTCTGTATCTCTTTCTATCTCTATAGTCCATTGGAAGCAGTCAGTCAATCTGTTGAGGCATGTTGTTGTAGGCAGCTATGTTTTGTTAGTTTGCTGTTTGATCTGTTCCGAACTATATGTAAGTAAAGGAAATTGTTTCAACTACTAATGTCTCCAAGTGACTTATTGATATGTCAGTCCAACTGACAAAAAAAGGGAGATAAACCAAACTGGGGAATTTAAAACCATTCTGCTTTATGTATCCCTGCACCTCTGTTCAGCTAAAAGAAGTTAGCCAAAATTCAAAACTCTGCAACAGCACAAGCTCAGGGGAGATAAGGAAGCCTGGGGGACAGTGACACAAGACATCATCATCCTTTTCAGTTTAAGCAGGACTTGGGAAAATGTGGGGCTAATTCCCAGATTTGGCCTGTCAGCCTGGGCAATGGCTAGCAGCCTCACCAGGATTCTCAGAGTTATAGTACAAAATTTCTAAACACTGATTCTAAATGTATTCGTGAAGGCTTTCACGGCTGGGATCTAATGGTTGTTGTGGGTTTTTCTGGCTCTCCCAAGCCAACTACACCAGAGCACAGAGTGCTGTCCTCTGAAGATGCCGGCCACAGAGACTGGCGAAACGTTAGGAAGAACAACCTTCAGAACACGGCCAAAGAGCCCAAAAAACCCAAAACAACCACTGATTCTAAACTTTAGTATATTCTTTGATATATGCCTTAAGTGAGTTATGATTGCAGTGCTAGGTTCTGAACATGTTTCTTTTTTCTTTTTAATTTGATGAGGATTTCAACATTCCCAGAATGCAGTGTATTTAAAGATGGGTGAGCCTATGCAGCAAAGTTAACTTACTTGCACAGTATCGTAGCCTAGCATGATGCTTAAGTCGCCAGCCCCATAATACAAAGTATAGGTCTGTCCATTGTTAGAGTATGTGGAAGAGGCACTAGGGTTGAACCTATGGTGGTTACCTAGAAGGAAAGAGAAAGAAGCAATAAAAACACATGTTCTCCAAGTGACAAGAGAAGATACCTATTTTTCTGCTGACTTCTGAAACTCTGTGTGCCACAAATAGCACATCATTAGAAGCTGAAATCACATTAGTGTTCCAGACAAGTGATTCTGGCAGAACTTTGTTTCTGAGCCCTCATGCTTGCAAATAAAGTACTGTATGTATTTACAAAGAAAGCTAATCTGTAAACTGCTTGTCCTGTGACACTCACTCTGTCGGTGATTTCCCTTTCTTCTAATTGTGTACTATCTATAACGTATTGATCAGTTGCATTTTGGCAAGTCCCTAGTTACAAAGAATTATAAATATACAAATTACAGCTGCTAATAATATATGGATCGAAATATTAATAAATGTTCTAAGCAGGCAACACTTACTATAGGACTATTTCATTTCTGTTGGCAACTACCATTTTGAACAGAAAATTTTAATTTTAAAAAGATTCAATCAATGGGCTTGCTACAACGAATCTCTCTTCAGCTGAGAATTCATACTCACCACAGGCTGCTGTACTACAATACACAGAGGGTACCCAGAGATTGGAAGAACCAGAGTCCATTAAAACCAGAAAGTTCTGTGGTGGAGTTCCAATACTGATCTCTCCAAAGTAATATCCCTGGCAAAAGTGGAAGCTTTGGTTAGTTACACTACCTCACTGAGCAGAGTCTGAAAAGAGCAATACAGTATAGCATGAAGAATTCAATAGACTACTTTTCCATCCACAAAGAAGGTAAACAACATTATTATCAGGTAAAGAGATATGCAAAAAGAGAAATAAGACATCTTCATTTACGCTTTCCTATAGCTTCGTGGTTCTCAACCTTGGGTAACTCAGGTGTTCTTGAACTGGAATTCCCAGAAGCCTTTACCACTAGGATGCCAGTTGAGGGTTTTGGGAGTTGCAGTCCAAGAACGCTTGGGTCACCCCAGGGTGGGAACCACTGCTATAACTGCAAGTCTGCAGGATTTAAAAAGTATGTGCCTCCAGGCACAGCTTTGCTTGCTGGTTTCACGCCATAAATTTCCACGGTTAAAGAAATTATTTCTTACAAAAATAATGGCCCATCTCTTGGGTAGTGGGAATTCTGAATGGAATATAATTCAATACAATTTAATATATGAAGCAAATATTTGACTATAAGCCTCTGCAGTAGTCTGACTTCAGTAAGACAATTCTTATGGTACCGTATTTTCTTACACGACTCTGTTGAGAAGAGAGTCCTATTGAACCCTATGGGGCTTAGATCCACTTTGCATGTACTGTATGAGGAAAGTTTGGCCCACAATTCTCATCAGCAAAACACAGTATGCACATGAGTAAAGGGATTGTAGGAGTTATAGTGTAAAACAGTGGTTCCCACCCTTGCTTCCCCAGATGTTCCTTGACTACAACTCCCATAAACCCTGGGCAGCATAGCTGGTGGTGAAGAGAGTTGCAGTCCAAGAACTGCGTTTCTCAGGATTGGGAATCAGTGCTCTAAAATATATACAAAGCCATGGATTCTCCATTCCTAGAATACAGAAGAATTAAAATACAGTCCTAAACAATATGACCCTTTGGGTTCATTGAGGAGGTTACTAAAAGGAGAAAATGTTGTTTTGGTTTGTTCCATGTGATGCCTCTTCTGTTTTCAGGTTTTTGTTGGGGTGGGTTTTTTTCAGGGGAGGGGGAGCTTGTGCTGCTCTTTTTGTTTACCATGAAAGGGGGTGCTTCTTTCAGGTTATTTTGGTTCATTTTTTTCCCATGGAGGGGGAACGGGTTGGGCTGGCTGGGCAAAGACATGTATGGTGGCAAGAAGGAAGGGAAAAAGTAGGAGGGCTGGCTGGACAAGAAGATATATATATTGGGGGCTAGATGGGGAAAGGCAAGAGAGAGACCAGTAGGGTGGGCTACTGGAATATCAGTGTGAGTTGATTTTGTATCAACCTACACTAATGAATGAAGACAACGAATGAGGATGAACATGGATGAACACGGGAGATACATGTTCCTCTCAATTTTTCAAACTAACAACTAGTGTTTCTGAGGCTGTCTTCCAGGAAGTGATAGAAGAACCCAAAAACAAATGTAGTAACTTCTTCTGTTTTTGGGGGGTGGGGGTGGGGGGTTGCCCAAACTCAAAAGTCCCATGTCTGGTAGTTACTACCAGCAAGTGGGTATATGATGGCAGATGTAATATATATTCTTTAACAGACTGAATCAAGTCAATAAGAAACAAGATACCATTAAACTATAGCCCTGAAAAGTTCCAACTCAGATGAAAATAAAAACTCTGGAATAATTAAGATATGTTTTAAGAATCCTTGACAAGCAGGACAAATAGAAACATACTCTTTGTGTGTGTGTGTGTGTGTGTGTGTGTTTTAGTACTCACATTCAAATAATTTGTTACTGGTTCATAAGCAACATTGTATTCATCGAAGCGGTACTTAAGCACAGGATCCATATGGTATTTCTTCATAAATTTCTCAAGCACTCCTTTCTCCTTCATATTTTCCCGAATGGATTTCCCTCTCTTCAGAATGACCCTGCATGAGGCACAAAGATCTTGGGAGATTACTAGGATTGTTGCTTTTAGCCATTCCCTGTCTGTTTTATGTGCTCTTTCTTTACCAGTTCTCTTCATCATGGCTATTGGAAAATGCTGCTAATTGATGGTGCCACTTGTGACTCCCCCCCCCCAAAAAAAAAGCCTATGAGAGGCAGGAGGAATATATCCCCAAAGCTTCCAAACACAGGGCTAAAATGTCAAAGCTTAACTTGGAAAAGTTACACCGTGTTTCATGATACAATCTTGTCATACAACATGGGCTGAAAACGCATGTCAGTTGCTGGCAGGGATCCATCCCTCTCTTATGAATATAATTTTATCATAAAGCTTTGGCTGACAATGTATGTAGAGAAGAAATATGCATTATAGATAGCTTGAAATTGGAAATAAAGTGCATTAGAATTGAAGAAAGATTGTTGCGGCAGTCTTAGTGTTTAAGAAATTGAATTTCAAAGGTATACACTCCTTAGTTTTGAAGACCAATCACAAACCAAAACAAGCTGATTCCAGAAGGTTAGAAAACAATTCAATATAATATAATTTAATTATTATTATTGGCTAATTGCTTTGAATGTATAACTTATTGTATTTGTATACTGTATTTTTTAACACTATGAGCTGCCTTGATTCCTCCCGCTGGAAGGAAGATGTCCTATAAATGGGACAAATAAGTGGGACAAATAAATAAATAAGAAAAGCTCCTAATGTGACAATCACACGCAATCAGCCTTTAAGGAGTTCTCTTCTTCTAATAAGCTATCTGTAACATCTGGTTCTGCTCACAGCAAGAATACAGTCATCTCATTCATAATTGGAGTTGTTCACAATACTCACCTCTCCACTCCCTCTGTCAATTGCAGAATAACCAAGACCAGGACCCACCACTTCATGGTGCCCAGCATCTTTTTCACCAATGTGGTCTTCTGCAGAATGAACAAAATGAGACCACAGATGCAACTGTTCTGTCCCTGCTTTTATACTCAGGACAATTGTCCTCTACTGCCTTATCTCTTTATTATGTATTTCCCATATCATTGCAAACATGGAATGCCTACACTTCTATTTTCCAGTGAACAACAGAAAGTCAATTTCCTTTGTTAGAATGAAATGCAATGTGTGCCCTTGATTTTAGCAAAACTGAGCAATTGTTATCAAAGCATTCTTAATACAAAGGAAACAGTGATAAAGGATATCAATAAGTCAAAGTACAGTTTCCTTGAGAAAGGTTAATTTTTTTTTCAAATGTAATAAAGAGCAGGCAAATAACCACAGTTGCAGGGGTAGTTACTTACATGAAGTTGGACAAGGTTGAATTTTATTTGAGCCCAGCAAATAACAAAAATAACTGTATATTTCTCTCCACTAAAATAAAGGATTACATAGAACTGTGACCTTGGGAAGGTTTGCTGAGGGTTTGACTACATGGGTGGGAGGGACCTAGTTTGCTTCACAGTTTTTCTAACTGGGTCTCTGCTGGTTTCCACAAATGAAATCACTGTAGCCGTCCACACCAATTACTGTGTTGATGAATGTTTTCCATTTTCCATTTTTGCTGTCCTACAAATGATTGACCTTCATCCCACACATGATCCCCATGCACCCTTGGTAGGTCTGAGAGGACACATGCCAAGGATTTCAATGTCTTTCCAGCTCTTGGTGGTAATTAAGCTCAGAAAGCACTCCACTATCTTGTGTGCTCCCATCTGAGTTTTTCTTCCATATACTTTGACTCTTCATTAATGCCCTTTGGAAGGGGATAGTTTTACCTGAGCAGTGTGACTCCACACGTCTCCTTTGGGAGTGCTGACGGGCATATAGGAACAAAAGAGAAAAGCTGTGAAAATGGTCCTCTTCACTGCGAAAAACAATTTCCACCAGGCCCTCTTCTCTTCATCCTCTTTTTAATTTTGTTTGTTTGTTTGTAAAATGACATGGCCAGATAGTGATCAGGTATAGCACTGCCTTTGGCAAGGATAATTTTTAAAGAAAGAACAATTGTTTGGAGGAAATGAGACAAGATTCCTTCAGTTGAGGGGAACTGAAGTAATAGCATGCCCTCTGATGGGTCCATGACCTTTACTTTCCATCACTTCAGATGATCAGACATGTCAGAAAGCAGAGAAAAGTGATGTCAGCTGATCTGCAGCAAAATAAAATGCACCTTGCCAGCTGAACAAAAACACACTGGGCTTTCTCACACATAGTTTTGCTGGTTTTTACTTTGACTTTATCTGAACCAAATCCTATGGAAATTGTGGGGTAGCCACCCTGGCACTTGAATGCAAATCCAATATTTGACAGTTAAAAAAAACTCAAGGTAGAGATTTTGAAATTTCAACATTAGAAACATCAGTACCTACATTTTGCCCAGATTTGAAGCTTGTTTTTTTTTTAAATGCAACTATGATACTGTGAAAGTGGCTGAGAAGAGAGTGTGCCGTCCCCAGAGGACGAAGGAAAAGAGGGTGGGGGGAAAACCCGAGAGTGGAAAAGAACAGGCAGACCAAAGGGAGAATGCGGCTGTGGAAAAGGAGAGAACAGAAATAGGCAGGAAATTTGAAGTGAGTTTAGTGGAAGAGCGCGGGAGTAAGCAAGGGGAGGAGCAGGAACTGTCAGTTTGGAGGAGAGTGTAAGTAGTCAGGGAGAGCGGCTGTTCGAGGTAGAATTGGAGTTATGGAAACGGAAAAGGGAGCTGGAGAGGTTGAAGGAATACGAAAGAGTGAAAACCCAGGAGTTGCTGAGAGATTTCCCCAACCTAAAGCTAGGCAGGCTGCTACCAGATCCTACCCTGAAAGAAGGAGGAGAGGCAAAATATCAAACATTAGAGTGGTGAGTTGTCGTCTTCCCGAAGAATAAAGGGAGAGGCTGGCAGGTAATTAGACTGGATTCGTGTTGCAATACTCCCCCTCCCGAAGGAGACTGGGCCAGGCACCCATGCTGTGACACCATCTGCGCAGTGCGGAGCGCGCCCCTTCGGAAGCCAACCGATGCAGAGAGGTTTGGCCCAGCACCCCTATGAGCTCAATGGACGGTGTTCGGGACTATATGTTGGATAGTTATGGCATGTTGCCTGAGTTAAGCTTTTTTGATCCTATCATGAATAATGTTGATTTATCTGTGACTAATAAGGAAGTTGTTAAAGTTAAGAAGACGTCTCCTGTGATATTTCCCGCGCAAAGTGAGGAGTTGTCAAAATTTGAAGCTGAACCCATTCACAGATACTTATTCTTAAACAATGAGCAGACCTTTTATTGTGTGTGAATGTGCTCTGGCATGCATGGTTCCTAGAACATATTCATTTGTTATTGTTAATAAATATTTAATTTATAGATTGCCAAATATATTAAAGATGCAACCCCTTTTCTCAGGACCACTTTTATGATTTGGAAAGGTTAAATTGTAAAACTAGTATTCCAATATCTCCCTTAATCCCTGTTTTATGTGACACATCCATTCACATAAGTGGAGACAATTCCAGTCTTGGGAAAGAAAATGTTTGTATCAGCTGAAAGATTTATTTTCAAAAATACAAAGCATGCATAGGCTGAAACTAGATGAAATATTCAGCTAACATTTAAAAGCAGAATTCCCTTAATTAGTAAAAGATACCTGTCCTTTCACAAGCTTTTCTAACTTTTGGGTCTTACAAACCACACTGCTCTGTTTTGTGATTGGCCATTGGGAAATTAAGATGGGTTTACTTTACAAAACTGATTGCTTAGTCCCATGACTCTGAGGGAATCCCATCTCTGGAAGACAAATGCTAAATGTGACTCGAGAGTTTTGTCTAGTTAAATTCTAAAACAATGGCAGGAGGCACCAGTGTCAAGCTAGAAAATCACATGGTATTGAGAAACATATTATATGAGAAACTTCTGCCTCTTGTCACAATGTGAAATATGGACTACAGGCCCTACCAATTTGAGGAAGGGGATGAAATCAATGATGAGGACAAAATATACCACCTATGATTTTGGAGACAAATTACAGTAATTATCACTGGTAACCATAAATAGATTTGTTCTCCATGTCTTTGTCTAGTCTCCTTTTGAAGCCATCTGATACAGGATCATTCCCAATGTGGCTGCCTGCATAAAGTCTCAATGGCAGTGAATTTTGCAGTGGCATCATAACCCAAAAAATATGACCTCTCCAATCAGCCAAAATGCTTATGGAGCAACAAGAAGGGTGTGCTTTTGCTTAATGTTTGTGTACGCAGCCTTTGGAAGTTGCAGGTATGATGGAGTTCAAGTAGTATGGGATATGTAGTCAGAGAAATGTAAGATGGAGTCAGACAGGTTCTATATCTGTGTTGATTTGAGAGACATTGGAATGTGTTTTTCTAAGTGCTTTGAGAATGTTTTTCTGAAGACCATTACAGCATGGTTCGAGATAGAGCTGAAGGTCGAATCAAGGAGCCTCTGGAAAACTCAACATTCCGAGCTAATTGGAGAAGAGATAAAACACCTGGACTTTCATGGAAATTAAGGGAGGAGGAAGATGTTACAGCCCTTGAGGCTAATTGGTTAACAGCCAGAATTGCCAAGAAGAAGGGAGGAGTTAGAGAATGTAGGAAATGGACGATGGGTTATTTATTTATTTATTTATTTATTTATTTATTTATTGGTTGGTTGGTTGGTTGGTTGGTAAAGTCTATAATATGCGGTGTTACTGCTGCTTATTTGGTATACAGCAGACCTCCCCAAACTAATTACTTCCAAATCATTGGACAACAATTCCCATCATTACCAGTCAGTTAGATAAGGTTCCCAAGCTTGACTTTGTTGCCTCATTTCCCCTCTTGGCTGGCTGGCCATGTGGCTTCTGGATCCTCCCAGTCTTCCTATACTAGTGTTTCACCTTTATATGGTGCATCTTCACACAGCTGAGTTGTTCACTGGTAACTCATCTGTCCAATAGGAGGTTTTGCTTATGCTGAACAAGGAACAATTGCACAATCACATATTCTATTTGACTGTGAAGAAACCAGAAAGAGAGACTACATCCTAAGATAGCTGTAGGATGTTTACTAGAATTGCAATTCTGTCCCTTCCCCTAAAAGGCCTTCTTCAGGTGTTGGTGTCCAGCAGATGTCTTCTGGAGGAAAGAAGACTAGGAATAGTTGCCATAAGCCTGCAATCCCCTTTTCCAAACCCATGCCATGCACTTGAGGGTAACTTCAGACCTTCCTCTGCCTTCTTCTGATCTCTAAGAGATACCCACTGTTGCCAAGCCTTGTTATACACTCATAAGAGCTTCCTGGCCAAACTGCATTGAATTGTTATTAATTGTAAGTATGAGGAGGGTTGAGGGTATGTGCTCCAGCTGAGCCTCCTCTAATCCCTGCCTGTTTTACTAGGAAGGGCTCTGTAGAACAGCAGTTTTGGTTACCTGGGGGTTGTTTGGGAATCAGGGGTATCAGATTCTAATTTTTCCTGGCATTATGATAGGAAGCACACACATCCAGGCTCTCTCTTCAGGCTTACAGTTTACAATGCCTGAACAAGGCATTTAGTCTGTGATTTTCCAACAGTCGCATACATAGGCCAGAACTACACACTGTCCCAACACGCCAGAACTACACACAGTTCTTCTTGCATCCTAGGGGCATGGAAGAGCAGCAATAAATACAGAAAAGCTTGCTTGTACACTGTTGGGACTCCTGAGAGATTACATGCCTGCTCAGTGTGCAACTATGTACAAATTAATTAGTGTGAGTTCTTTTGAAATTGTCCCTAATTGGCATCTCAGTCACCTAGCTGCCTTAACGAGTACTATAGTTTGTCAGATGGTTCTTCCTCATTGCATGGAATATTTTCTTTCCTGTGGTACGAATGGCAGTGATGCTGGATTAAGTGTGAGAGAATTTGCTTCTTATGGTATAGAACAATACACCATACTGCCTTTATGTATAGAAGATGACTGGACTAGCAGTTAAATCTGATATTGCGACTATTGAAAGGGTAGTGTTGTCCCCTGTAGCTGAGATCAGTAGATTAGATTACAAGGTTGAGGACTTTGAGGACAGAGCTATTCTGCATGAGGAGAAAATGGTGGAAGATCTGGAGGAATATCTGATGGACTTCTATCACTGCCTTCCCCCCCCCCCCCC